TCCGAGGGGGGGTACTGGTAACATGGCCAGCGGCGCCGCTGCATTCGGAGAGGGTTTCACCCTCTGACACGTCTCACTCGTGCGCACATATGTGCTCGTCCAATTGTACAGATCGGGCCACCAATAGTGACAACTCACCCTGCTGTACGTCTTCTCACGACCGAGATGACCACTAAGTGGGGTGCTGTGGGCCTCATAGAGGATACGATATTTAAATCCTCATCGTGAGAACCACAATCAGTGATGTATCTGTTGAATCGGTGCTATAATACAGCAACCTGTTACTCAACGAATATCGGTGTAAATGTGCGCGCAATCGCGACGATAATTCCTTGTCCGAGTTTCCAACCCCTTGCTCCCGAGAGCCTGTATCAGCGCTACACACATACTATCACCCGCGTATGCGGCGCGGATCGAATTTGTCACTGACGAGGTCACCGTTGTGAATTGACTAGCTCATAGTCCGGTCTGCGTCACAACACATCATACAAAACATTCGGCTTTCTGGCTTATAATTCACCTCGAAGGTTTATTCTGAAAAGAATATGAGCCATCGGGTATCCTATGCGAGAGGTGAGGCGCCTGAGTTGCAGTGCGTAAGGAGGCGTAATCTGTAGATCACAAACGGCTTTGAGTCAAGCAGGTGCACCCTGAACTTGACAACTGCACACTTCATCGCAATTTTTGTTTCGTAAACTGGGTAGTTCCTCTCCGCAGCCTTTAGATGGCGGGATTCGAACGCAAGCACCTGATCTCATTCCTCGGCATCTGCATGCAGCAGTGCACAGCCGATGACAAAGTCCGAAGCGTCACAGACGACACTAAAAGGACGATCGGTGTCTGGTAATGCCAGTATTGGTGCATGAAGGAGGCTGTCTTGACCCTGTCAAAAGCGTCAAGATGCTTGGTGTCCCAACACCATCCTGTATCCTTTCTAACAAGATTAGACAAGGTTCTAACATATTTCGCACTATAGTTGTGCAAGTGATTGGGGAGGCCAAGCCATTTGCGCAAGTCTTTTTGTTTTTTTGGGACCGGCCAGACGACAGTGGCCTTGCTTGACCTTAGCGTGATCCGCTCAAAGGCCAAGCTTTCCAATGAACACTCTAGAAAAGGGGATTTCTTCAGCGCAGAAAATGCACTAATGTCGCAGGTGCATTTGACAGCCCTTGGGACATCACCATCCACTCCCAGAGCATGCCGCTCGGGGTACTCACCGCTGTCAGCGGAATATCACTCGCTCTTATGAGCTATTGGTAATACACATCGACCAAGTCGAGTGCGCTGTGCTTTGTACAGCCAACCATATTATTCTGAAGAACATTTTTCCTAGGAATCGGTGTCTGTGTCGGAACGGTGGCAGCATTTAGCATCTAGTAAATGTGAACGATACGCCACTAGCCATTCGGCCTCCGGACACAAAATGTGGATGTCGAATGGGGAGACTTGTTCTCACGTACTGCTTCTGCGTCGTGCTTTGCACGAAAAAAGGCGTCAATGACGTCATTCTTCTCTTTGATCAGCGGTCATTGGCGTGTTACGCAGATTTGGTTCCCGGAACCAGGTTGATCTCATGACGCACACCTCAGTCCGGAGGTCGGACCGACGGCGGGTCCGTAAAATTCCTTTACCAGAGGATTGTACGGATCCGAGGGTTTTTAAGGATCGAAGATCCACTTCGTGCGTTCAGCACCCTCTTGGTGTCCTCCGAACAGCTTCATTCAGAAGCGACGAAACGTTAATCTCCTCGTTTGGTCTTATAATGACTACCTCGTCTAAATTGCCTGCCTTCAAGGAACCGCAAACATTTCCGAAGGACATCTCGTCCACCTCAAGAAGATCATCCACCGCGGAAGGGTGACGTCGCCGTCTTCCCTCCCCGTCATATCGTTGACACGGGTATATAGCTATGCGCTATCGTCTATGGTAGACACATCATGGACCAGGGTCGACGCCCGGCGTCTTTCAGCTAGCATGCGGCGTCGTCGTCGCCTCTCCACAGAGGTTGTATATCTCGGCGAGACGAGGGGGATCACGCAATCAGCGTCGTCCAGAGTTAGTTCCGCTTCCTGCTCCACCGGAGCCGTGATGTTATTAAAACATTCGACGAAGAGCAGCTAGCTCTTCTATCTTCGACCGGGGGATAACGTGCGACTCCACGCGCATCTGAATGGCCTTGCCCAAGATGCCTCGGAACTCGTCCGACCATGCCGCTCGTTTTATGCAGCGACTGCTACGAAAAGTGAGCAGTGCTCAGTAAACTACGTTCCACTCCACGTGCCTCGCCCTCGATGCCTCGGACCTTGTCCGACCATGCCATTTTTGGCATTCAGCAACTGCTTCGTAACGTGAGCAGCGCTCAGTGAAGTGAATTACGTTCCACTCCACGTGCATCACTGGGGCCTCGCCCTCGATTCTTTGGACCTTCGCCGACCATGCCAGTCGTGGCATGCAGCAACTACTTTAATACATGAGCAGTGCTCAGTGGGTTACGTGTCATTCCACGCTCAGCCCGCGAGTCATGCTTGGGACTCTTGTATAATACACCTTCGATATTCGACAACTCGGATACGCCGATCTCCAGCACGTTGACCGTCCCGAACCATTGCCCGCGCCAATAGCGCTTCTGCTTCCCAGCAGAGGCGGGTTCATGACTCACCAAAGCTCCACCAGGAAACGTGCGCGTAGCGTCCAAGGTCTTCGACCTTCCATCGATCCATGGGTAATGGGTTTTCAACCATGCCATGTCAGCGATGAGGTTATACCTTGAATCCAAGTCTAAGACTAAGCAGCGTTCCACGCTATCAAAATCACGAAACTTGACACCGAGGTACACAGGGGCCCCCCGCACAGTGGCACATGTCCCCGTCGCTAAGCTAACAGTGACGATGCCACTCACCCGCGCTTGCAGATCCTCAGTATACAGCTGACTACCTTCTATCGTGTACGTCGAGCATAATTGCCCGACGCCCCGGAGTCGGTCAGGATCATCCATGGTTTCTCAAAGTCCTTCACGGTCGTTTTCACGACTAGCAAGCTCGGCTTGCATACACGTTCCGTGTTCAATAGCACGGAGCTCTTCGAGGATGAGCCCTGCTGCCCTCTACCTTTTCGAGGCACAACATAACTCAATTTTCCCCCAGTAGGGTACCCCGCATCTAGTGGGTGTTGTCGTTTTCCCGCAACACGTAGAACGACTGGTGAGAAGCGAGACGTCGGTTTGATGAACCTTGACGCGCCTTGCGCAGGGTACAACCAGTCCGAAGGTGACGGGTGTCTCCACCGACAAAGTATCGTCGGGTGTATGAAGGCTGCCCGGTAGCTCGGAGCTCTGCCTCCTTGTCCTCAGCATAGCTGAGATCTACCGGCTCAGGTCTGCTCGACGTGCCGCTAGAGTTTGCATTTCATCCAAGCCGTGCCGACTTGAAGTTGAGTTCGGCATTTAATGCCTCATTCACCGCTTCTTCAAAAGAAGACGGATGCACACGGAAGTCTTCCATTCTGGCCACGCCAGTGCGGAGGCCTTCCTTAAAGACGGTCAATGCGACGCCTCGGGGAGAGGATCAGCTGCCATTCCGGCAATGAGAGTTCTCAACTCTTGGATACAGTCCACCACCATCTTCTTGCCCTGTCGGGCAGAAAGTAACGCGATCGCACGCAATATGTCTGGTTGGGCGGCGGGAACACTCGAAAAAGCTGCAGCTTCTGCTCCTTTCAGGAGGGGAATGTAGCCTCATCCAAAGCACCGCACGTTAGTGCCCGTTCTCGAACTCAACCTCCGAGCTTGGAGATAGCTAGCGCGTTGCGCTGTGGCACATTTTGGAGCATGGCAGATGTCATAGTCATCTCGGCTTCTCTCACCCAGATAAGGTGATTCTCTCTATCCTACTGATAACGCTCACCATGAGCGGCCTTGGTCGGAAGGAATCATCCGTCGTCTGCTGTAAGTGCTCTAGCAGAGCATTTATAATGTGAAAATGCCTCTAGGTGTGCGCTTATGGTCTCGAGCCCTTGCCCAACGAGGTGCTCCAACGCCCTCAGGGCCCAGCAGGGACATCAGCTTATTAAGCCCATCCTGCATGCCCTGGGGCAGATAGGAGTATTCCTCCATTCTTACAGAGGATCAGTCGTAACGACTCAGATGTAGATCGACTACGAGTCCAACCAAGTGTAGCGGGGCTGCTGTTGCTCTTCGCTTAGAGGAAGCTTACTAAGTTCACCGACCTTTGGTTTTTTAAAGAACCAGTACAAGTGTAGTGGATCGCAATCCGCAACTTCTAAGTACTAAAGCTTTACCAAGGCAAACAAACACTTCTGTTCAAAACCGATCCTGTATTAAATGTTTTAGTTGCAGCAGAGTCACCAATATCTAAAACCCTCAGTTTTCCTAATTAGTATAGTAATACCCAGGCAATATAGTAAAACCTAATTGATATAGTAGTATGCATTACTACTGGCAATCCTGCCACGTGGTGGCTTCTTGTTACGGT